ATAACCTCATGAGGTTTAAACTTTGCCACTGTATTAAACCTGTCAACAGAAACAAACATGATCAATCTTGGTTCAAGCAATTATACAGTTAGTATACATGATAACTCATTAGCGAAATCGAATGAGTTTAATAAAGCATACCGGCATCCATAATGCGTACCCGGCTCTGGATGAGGAGGAAGGGGTGGAGCAATGAGTGAGAGTCGTATCCATGCCCAAATCTGAAGAAGAATATGGCAACCACCCATGTCAGATCGACCGACATCTGTACACTCGCACAAATTCCTGAACAAGTGTGCCAGAACCGCAGATCCCCAGCTAAAACGGCCAATCTCATCAAATTCTCCCCCAAGCAACGAGACTATCGCTATTTTCTAAATCACTATCACAAAATAATAGCATGGTACAAAATTTCTAAGTGGCTATCCTAATGTTCTAAGTCTCTAATATACAATAAATCCTAACATGTTCGCAAGGTAACACTGTAATTTAAACGTATACATAGCAGGTATTACGAACTTACCTAAGTTGGCAGAGCTTCGCTACGAAAATCTTCGCGTTCGGTCGGGAGTACAAACCATGGTTAGAGAGAGGTGAAATAGTGAGAAGTGAAATGGTAAAAAATGGGGTATATATAGGGCACACATGAGACGCCCCATTGGGGCGTCTTTCCTTAGGGTGAGACGCCTCAATGTGACGCCCAAAAGGGGCATCACATTGTGCAATAAATGTGTAATTATTCCCAAAACTACAATAAATGCGTAATTATTTAATTAAAAAGCGTTATTTTATTTTTTTCGTTTTTAGAAAGATTGACACCCGAGTTAACGTTTAGAAAATAAGAGTCTCGTGCAATTTTTATTGTTGGATAAGTTATATTTACAAATTTGTTATTTACAAACTCTTACAAATTATACTATGTACTCCTAGAAATATATTTATAACCGAGTGTACTCCCGGGAGTACATAAAATAGTTTATAAGGTTTGGAAACAAAAATTTTGTAAATATAATCCTCCCTTTTTTTAGGCAAAAGTATTTATACATTTGTGGAAGAAATACTTTTGTCTGCCACATACACATTTTTTTTTATGTCCACCAGGATCTCTTGAGATTTTGAATATTTTTTTTTAAAATGAGTGAGTCCCAATTTGTTGTGTTGTGGCTAGGGATATAAATGAGCCGAGCCAAGTTTTAGCTTAAACAAGCCAAGCCTTGGCTTAAATGAGCTAAGCATATGAAAAATATTTTGAGCTTGACTTGGCTCTTCAGCTTGGTATGAACTAAATTCTAGGCTTGGTTTGTTTATAAAAAATTGAAGGCTTGGCTTGAACTTGACTTGACTCATTTATAATTATAAAATATATTTTTTCCAAACTCACGTAAGTCCAAATGTTAAGACTATAAATTAATGCATCAAATTCTATATTCCTTCGTCAGATTAAAAAACAATCATAAAACTCACTCAGTCCACATATATTTTAAGATCGAATAGTTGAGTTCCACAATTTTTTTTTAAACATTAATCCAGCTCATGAAATAGAGAATGTGGGGGAAGAATATTTTAATAAAAGTATGCAATATAGACTAACCTTTAAATATTTCAGTGATAACAATTTATAATATTAAAACAAATAACATTTATTATGACCTTTATTAAAATAACCAAACAAACCCGATAAATAATTGAATTTCATATCATGTCACCATCATTCCCATCCTTAGATTGGAACAAAGATGTTAACAATTAATATCCGCTGGCGACACCTATCCAAAGAAAAAAAAAACTATCTATTAGCACTATTACCAGACCTCATGCTACTCCAGGGAAATTTAGCACTTACCCCAAAGTCCATCAGCACCTTCATATGAGCAATTTGATATAAAAAATAGGGTTAATGATATAAAAATATATTATTTATTATAATAATATATGGGCTAGTTCATGGGCTTTCAAGCAAAACCTTATTAAATTAGGGTTAAGCTTGTTTGCTAAACAAGCTTTTTTAAAAGCTTGAGCCCGTTCCATTTATTAAACAAGGCATGCCAAGTCAAGCTTAAAGCAAGCCAAACCTTGAGCACTTGACAAGTCACGCGGCTCATTTACACCCGTATCTGTGACAGATAATTTTGTCTGCCACTGTGACACGAGCTGTCAAACTCGCACAAATTAAAAAAAATTTCATTAGGGTTCATAAAGTTTGTAGTAAAGTGGAAACCCTAAGTCGTCTCTGAAGGAAATTGTTTGGGTAAAAATCGTTTTTGAAAACAGAAAATAAAACGGGGGGTTTTTTTATTTCAGTTTAATAATTTAAAAGGCAAAATATAAAATTGAAATTAAAATTCGTAATTAAAAATTAACCAACCTAAGGTTAGGGTTCCATGGACGTCTTTCCTCGGATAAAGAGATATCAAAATCGTGATTGATTGTCAATTGAATCAGAATCCTTATTTCCAATTGACAACCCTCTCTAAGCGATCGCTTAGCATTTGATCAAATACGATGTTTTTACTCATATAATCGCAGAGTATCAGCCCGTTTGATTTAAGGTCATAAGGTCAATCAATCTAATCATCAAATCTGATGATTAATCCCTTTCCATAATCGCAATCGCGAACCTCAGATTGAATATCCACGATCGCACGATATCAATCCGAGTTTGGAAGGGAAACGAAACTGATTTAAAATAAAGCGCAGATCCTCAAGACTAATCCATGGAATCCGTTACCCTTAGGTTGATTAAAAGGTTCTTAGCCTCGCATGGCAAGGTAAACATAATTAAAATTTAAAAAGAATAAGAACAGAAGATGAAGAAGAAGAACAGAATTGAATTGAAATTTAGAGAAAACTTTTTTGTCGTCAAAAACTCCCAAAAACTGACTGCCGAAGGATTTCCTAAAGTCTCCCTTAAATAGCCGTCATTCAGAACGGCTAAGGTTTCACCGCTTCAGCCCATACATAAAATAAAAGTTGAATAAAATAAAATAAATCAATAAAACATGGCCTTGGGTCCTAAACACATTGGGTCCTAATGTGAATTACAAGTCCAAACGTCAAAATAAAAACACGTCATCTTGAGCTCAGGTTTCGACCATCTTGTCGTCTGAATTGGGCTTCAGTAGCTGAAATAGTGATTGTATCCCTATTTGTTAGCTGCAAAACTCAACAAGAACGGAGTCAATCAGACATCTGTAGAATGAGATATGGTCAAAATACGAAAGTAGTGTAAATTTGGAAAATTATGACGAAAATCAATTAAACCCAATTAAAATCTAGAATTGTGATTTGACCCAAAAGACCTTTATTTAATTCAAATAAATCATAAAAATACCAACCAAGAGTAATAAATAAGTGTAACAAAATATGAGTTATCAAATTCCCCCACACTTATCTTTTTGCATCCTGGGCAAAAACTAAAATTGAAAGCAAAGACTAAGATCAACCAATCCTTTCTAACTACTATCAAGCATACATAAAATATACAAAGATCACAAGTCTTCCACAGATAAGTCAATCAGGACAGGAATTTCCTAATCTCGAATCACAAGACCTGCTAATTTCAGCTGCATATGCCAATTACAGAAAATGGTTTCTCACAAGATGCTCTCAATATTTTTCTCTCAAGCATAACAGGTAATCAGTGTATCACTCAAATCTACTCAAGAAAATCATTATACCATAGGCTTGCTCAAATTCTACTTCTCCACTGCTACTAACAGATGCATGCACAAATCAAAAGGGCTTTATGCAGGGTTGTAATGGGGCTGAGGTGAAGGTATGGATGAAATATGGAAAAGAAGGTAAAACACCTCAGAAATCTACAAGAGCAAAAGTTAAGAACTACACAAAGATAATGAAAAGATAAAAATAAACACATTTTTTTGTTTTTGTTTTTTTAGGAACACAGAAGAACCACATAGCAGAGAAAAGAATCAGATTGTCACCCCCCACACTTAATTTGCATGCATCGGGCAAACCCCTACACTTAAACACAACATCACAGTGAAAACTATTGCTCAGTAAATCTCCAGGGTGTGGAATTAATTGGTTTTTCACTTAGGCTTGTAATGTGGCTCAAGAAGTAAAGGATATAAAGGCTCAAGGGGCTCATCAAGGGATAATAATGTAAGGGATGGCTATCTGGCTAAAGTTGGTAAAGAAAGAAATGAATGCCTCAATCATATTCATGCATGTAAGTGAAAAATGCAGTTTCAAAAAGAATCAGAGCAAGTGCTAAAGAACAAAGATCAAGAGCAGAAGCACACAAGAAAGAAAGCATGGCCAGAAGATATGCCATGTATACAGGCTCAAAACCTCACAAGGGTTAACCAAATCATGCAATCAACATCACATATCAATCAACAGGTATTGCAATCCAAGAATTGAGATCAAAGCCTAACAGACTATGCTATCAAACACTGTGATCTAAGTCTACTCCATGTACCACTCAATAATTACCAGAAAGAAGAGGAAAATCTACCTATAAAAGTCAAAAACTAAAAGAAAGAAAAGAAAATAAAAATAAAAATGCAAATAACAGAAAGAAAAGAAAAAGAGGGAAGAGAACTCCCTGAACTCCCTAAGAGAATAAACAGCCTGATTTCTGCCTCACTGGTTTAACACCTTCAAGTAAAATGCGGTGCATGCACATGGAAGGGCTGATTCCCACATTATCTGCTAAAGTCCATCCAATTGCCTTTTTATTTTCTTTCAGCAATGTCAGAAGCTTTATCTCCTGCTTAGGTAGAAGGTTCTTGGCCACTATCACAGGTAACTGCTCATTTTCCTCCAGATATGCATACTTCAGATGGTCATGCAGAACCTTCAGTTCCAACTTAGGTGGCTGCTCAGTGGATGAGAGAAGTTTAGTGGTGCAGGTTCTGCAGAAAACACATTAACATCTATGCCTGCAATCAAATTCTCAGAAACAGAATCATCAATAATTTCAACAGACCATTCAGAATTCAACTTCAATGCATAACCACTATGCAAATCATCATTCAATGCATGATTAAAATTAGAATCAGATCAAGGAAGGATGAAAATTCTGGATATTCAGCAATCAAATCAACAAAGATATCATCAACCATTTCATCTATTATATCAATGCAGAAAACATAATGCTCTTCCCTAGGATATTTCATGGCATCAAAAATATTAAAATTAACCATGCTATCACCAAATTCCATGGAAAAAGTACCAGCATGCACATCTATCTTAGTCCTAGCAGTTTTCGTGAAAGGTCTACCAAGTATAATTGTACTACTAGGAGTCTCACCCTCCATCCCTAAGACATAGAAATCAGCAGGAAAAATCAGATTGTTAACCCTAACTAATATATCTTCAACTACTCCAGAAGGATGAACACTACTCTTGTTGGCTAACTGAACAATAATACCAGTAGCACGTAAGGGACCAAGACCAAGAGACTTATACACAAATTCAGGCATAACATTAATGGATGCTCCAAAGTCTAACATACAATCATGAAAAACAGAATTTTCAATAATGCAAGGAATAGTAAATGTCCCTGGATCTTGACACTTCTTGGGTATGGGTTGGATGAGTGCTGAAACATTCTGGATGACGCTGACTCGCTCATCTCTTTTCAGCCTCCTCTTGTTGGTGCACAACTCCTTCAGAAACTTGGCATATCTTGGAATTTGCTGAATTGCATCCAAGAGTGGGATATTGACCTCTACTTTTCTGAAGGTGTCAAGAATCTCTTTATCTTGAGCTTTTGCTGCTTGCTTTTTAGACTGAGTGGCTCTTTGAGGAAAAGGTAACATGATGTGGACATCAGAAGTATCAGTATTTTGCTTCCTTGAACCAGTGTCACCTCCTTGAGATGACTCAACAGCAGATTGGTTTGGCTCCTCCAATTGCTTGCCAGACCGCAGAGAGATGGTACTAACATTGTTGGTTCCCTTTGGATTTGGAACTGTCTATGAGGGAAGGGAGCTGCCACTTGCTTGTTGATTCTGACTCATTGATGTTGCAAGTTGGCCAATCTGTGTTTGCAGATTTTGGATGGAAGATTCAGTCCTCTGCTGGAACTGCAGATTGTTAATTGCCATCTGCTTCACTAAATCCTCCAAAGAAGGACCATTGCTACTGGCTTGCTGCTGCATTGGCGGCGGCCGCTGCATTGGCGACTGCTGCTGCATTGGCGGCTGCTGCATTTGCTGTGGAGGTGAAAATTGTTGAAAATTTTGCCTCTGCTGTGAAGGTACAAACTGCTGCCTCTGCTGAAATGGTGCACTTTGCTGATTCTGGCTCCATTTGAGATTTGGATGATTTTTCCAGCCAGGATTATATGTATTAGAGAAGGGATTGTTTTGCTGCTGCTGCTGCTGGTATTGTGGCTTTGCAGAAAAAACTGCAGCAACAGACTGATCAACTTGGAAACCGCTGTCTTGTAGGGAAGGACAAACATTCGTGGGGTGAGAAGGATCACAACAGATGCCACACAGGTTGCTTATCTGTTGAGCAGAAGGTTGCACAGTCTGTGTCACTGCCAACTGCCTCACCATTGATGTCAACTCATCAAGTCTGTTCTCCATTCTCTGGTTATCTGTGCTTTATGCTCCTGCTGCTGCCACTATTGGATTTTGCATTGGAGGAGCTTTCACTTGGAACACTGCACTGTTGTTTGCTCTAGTGCCAAATTGTTGAGCATTAGCCGCTATCTCAGCAATCAACTCTTTTGCCTCATCAGGTGTTTTATTTCCCAGGACTCCTCCACTAGCTGCATCTAAAAGGTTCCTATCCATAGGCAGCAACCCTTCATAGAAGTAAACAATCAGGAGATTGTCTGGAATCTGATGATGTGGACAGCTTGCACAAAGCCTTTTAAACCGCTCCCAATACTCATGCATATTCTCCCCATTAGCTTGCCTTATGCCACTGAACTTCTTTCTGATTGTGGTGGCCCTGGATGAAGGGAAGAACTTCTCCAGAAACAATTTTGACATGTCATTCCAACTTACAATGGAGGAAGGTGGCAAGTAGTACAACCAGTCTTTAGCTCCACTGTCCAAAGAGAAAGGAAAAGCACGCAGCTTGATTTTCTCCTCATCCACCCCTAGTGGTTTCATAGTGCTGCAGACTATATGAAATTCCTTCAAATGTTTGTGAGGATCCTCACCTGCAAGACGATGAAACTTGGGAAGAAAGTGTATCAGTCCAGACGTAAGCTTAAAAGGTACAACAAGATTAGCATAACGAATACATAGGAGCTGCTCATTATCAACATTAGGAGCAACCAATTGCTTAAGTGTTCTATCATTCATGATTTCAGAATCAAATAAATTACCAAACGAATAAATACT